AATGAAATCAATGCTTGACACATAAATACTTCAGTATGAACATGATTTGACACTAACAAATGATGTTTAATCATTTACCTATTCCAATATGCAACAATAAGATCCAATCAATGAAAAGATAAATAAAGTAGATATGCTGACTAACTTTGAGACAGCAGTTCTGTTTAAAGCAGTGTGTCCACATTACTGAGCTAATCCTCACCTTGGCCTGCTTCCCCTCCATGACGGCAACACAGGAGTTGGTGGTTCCCAGGTCAATGCCGATCACTGACCCCTTGATGGCTTCTGACCTGCAGCACATACACATTTCATACCAGGAAGTGATGAGTGTGTGTTTCACACTGTGTAGCTAGCTTTGAATATGGGTAAATTTCACTCAGCAGTCTGACAGCATTTCTACTCACGCATAGTCTCTTCTGGACAGAGCTCTGATTGCATCCGACTGGAACCCACTCCAACATGCCTTAGAACATAAAATTACAAAATGACTAAAACTCACTGAAACTACAATGAGGACCGCTCGATGTTAGCATGTTAAACTAGATAAAGTCAGAAGATTCCCGGGCCCCTTTTTAGCGGTGTAACAGCATGAAGCGGGTGAGCAAACTCATGAAGGTCACAGAACCATTCACTAACAACCCCTTGGAAAAACCTTGTCAGAAAATTTGCATAGTTCGAAGACGAATGAACAGTTCTTAAACTAACTAACTGAGAATGTGTGAATTTTAATTCTGCTTAATTTCTTCATGTAATAACCTCTTAAGTTGACGCGTGACCGTTTTGACGCATCCTGTCGTGATGAGGTTGGTAGCAAACTGAGCTGCATGAGCAGCTCACCATCACCCAGCAGATGTTCAATAACCCAGCAAAGAACTAAAAGTCACGAACCACTTCAGTCAACTTCAAAGGCTTTTCTCCAAACTGCGAGGTGGCCTTAAGCTAGCACTACTAGCATGCTGTGCTAAGCGGCTAGATGTCAGGGTGTCATGCCGGAATGAGCACAGAGCGTGTGTAAATGTAGTAATAAAATGATTGACCTCTTACCTTCTTCACCAAAGACGACACATTTCGAGAGCAGATCTTGGTTGGCAAAGACCTTGAAACGCTCCTTGCGACACTCAACATTTCGACAAGCCGGCTAATGAGCTAACCAAAGCTGTTTCCAAACGAGCAAACAAAAAAGCAGCGCAGTAGGCTTAAAGCCCCAGAGCGACTTGAGAACAGCTTAACTGTGGAGATAAAGCTGCAGAAGTGTCCTTTGTCAGTGTCCAAGCGGAAAGAAGCTCCAGCTCAGGCCCGTTCTGACTACTTGTGTCTGGTCTGCAACAGCAAAGAAAGTGCGGAGACGCTTCTGGAATGATCTAACACATGTTGCACCAGACACCACCGAAGGACCCCGAATTAGGCTGTACAGATACTGCCTGAAAAATTATATTGAATGGCAAAATATTCTACGGCCGTTCGTGAACACTATGCGAGAGTATGCCAGACGGTATAAACTGAACAATAATTGTAAAAAAAATTATCGAGAGTATACAGTTTGTTATTGTTGTCCTTTTCTGTTTTTTGAGTGTGGCCGGAATGGGACAGGACAGGTAGTGGGGCATGTGAAGGTCATGATGTAACAAACGCGAAGGTTTCACGTGCGTTACATCAGTGATGCTGAATGAACGTATATGTTGTGTCATAACCCATCCATACTAGCGCCAATACACACTATTACGATTTTATGTGGCTGTTTTTTTATTGTTATTCATGTTAGGAAAATAAATTTAAAATATGCTAGTTTTAAAACTTAACCACATGTACAATATTATATAAAATTAACAGCGTTTTAAAATAAGAACATTTGGTTGTAAATTGCCTCCATGGTTCAGTGGGCATCTCATTTGTAGGATGTTTATTTTAAATATAACACAATAAGTTGAATTTAAAATAGCTTAGTTTTTAGTTTTCTATCATTTAAAACACAGTTCTTAACCTCCCTGTGGATTGAACAAGCATTCACATGAGGTCGTGGCTGTTTGTGTGAGTTTAACCTTTTGACCATCTTGACAAGATTTAAATAGCTGGTGTAAAACTGAATGCAACATAGAATATCTGTAAAACATAATCTAATTTGTAATCTCCCCTAGTTGTTAACATGTCTTGATTGAAATAGCCTAATTATAGTTTTCAGATTAATAACTTACTATGCCCTATTAACCTTTATTTTACCTGTATTTACAGCAGACTGCCTGCTAGATTTTCTGATCTGCCCTTTGTTTGAGCGGGAAACAATCAGGAGAAATTCCACTGATCTGTGAAAAGTCATAAAACAGCATGAGTTCAGGTCAGTGGAGGAGAAGCTCTGCTTCCACTTGTTTAGATAAAGGAGACAACTGGTGTTTGATCTTGAAAACAAATTGTAGGGAGTTTCTAACTTTTAATAGAGTCTGAGACAGCTCCTGGTTGGATGAGCAAAGATACACCTTATCTTTGCTCATCTTAAATTACAGAGAAGAATACGCCTTTACTATAAAAAATTTGTGCACGTGAGGAACAAACCAGATTTGCTTTTGCAATTCTCCAAAAATGTCTTTGCCTTTCTTTCTTCTTCTTTTCCATTTGTCTCAGGTAAATGAATGTCTGTTTTAGTGTGTTTGAAGTGTCAATGTGATTTTATACTTTTAAATGTTAGAATAAACTCTGAAAATGTATGACGTGGAGCGTTGACTGTCATCTCTGTGTAGCTTTTATTTCCACGCATGGCATCATTGAGTACGGGAGGACAAGAGAATACAACGAGCCAGAAGTTAAATGATTTTAATCTCTACATTCCCTATCTATTTATCTATAACTATATAGTTATAGAACCCCGCCTCTCGCCCGGAACGTTAGCTGGAGATAGGCACCAGCACCCCTCCCGACCCCGCT